TGAAGACTAACTTTTTAAAGTAAATTATAAAAATTAAAACAATTTAAAATAAATATTTTAAACTTATCATTTTGTGCTATTTTTTTTGCTTGAAGAAAAGCTGTTTTACCATAAACTTTTTGATTCCTTTTTGCATCATTTTTATCCTTGAAAAAATTCCAGATTTAGATCGGATACAGAGTTTCTTCCAGGCATCTCTTGTCCCCCCCCCCCCCCCCCCCCCCCGCCGAAAACTTCAAGTGCACCCCCGGAGAAAAATGTCTTAAGAAACACTGATCGGATATCATTTCTTGAAACCCAACTCCCTTGCTAGCTGTGTTTCGGAGCACGTCTACCACCTCCCCCCCCCCCCTCCTACCGAATGAAATATAATTTATTTAGAAAAATTCTTTTATCAGTGTACGACACCCCAAAAATTTAGCTCCCCCACCCCTCGAAAGTTTCAAGTACGTCCCCCCCCCCACCCCCCTACGGAGAAAAGAGTCTGAAAGAAACTGATAACACAACTTCACATCCGTCTGAAACTTCCTCTCCCCCCCCCCCCCCTCCAAAGTAGGTAGACACCCCCCCCCTCCCCCAAACACACCCCACTCAATATGTGTGTTTTAATATTGTAAATTAGACTCGCTATACGTGTCTGTAGTAAAAATGTCCGTTTAGAAATACGCTTTTTTAAAAATAAAATTAAAAAGTAAATATTAAACTTTTTTTTACAACAAAAAAATCAGCTGCAAACGTATCCAATCATCCCTGATAGATTTTTGTTTGTTTGTTCAAATGTTTGCGTTGTTGACAAATCAGAGCAACTTGAGACCTTTCTGTAAACAGAGGAACGTTCTGGAAGCTTCCGTAACTTAATGCCTCGTATTGAATGGCTCTCGTTTGTTGACCAATCTGATTGAGGGGGGGGGGGGGTCATCCATAAATGACGTCACGCTTTTTTGGACGATGTTTATCCCCCTTCCTCCCCTCCGTCACACATCGTCACAAAAAGCCAGACCCCCCCATCCCTAAAAGGATGTCTCACCCCAGCCTACAAAATTGCAGTTGAATTTTTCTAAAAATACGATATTTTCCTAAATCTGGTCTGAACTCTGTCAACATAGAGTATTTTAATCAATTCCTATTACAATTTATTAAAACAGTTTTATACAACGCGAAATTACATCTAAAATTAGTTTTCTAACATGGCTTTTTTATAATGCAAAAGTGTGACGTCGCACCATCTGAACCCCCTCCCACCTCTCCCTCATCACACACCGTCTCAAAATTACGGACCCCCCTCACCCCTACGAGTGTGACGTCATTTATGCTCAATGCAGTGTTTGATGCTGGCTTTCTAGACTCTATTTAACGTAGTCTGTAGGACTTCTATTACTAGACGTAGTCAGTAGGACTTCTGAAATTGTATGTAGTCAATACGTAAAAAAAAGTCAAGTTTCCCTTCCAAACCTGATGCATTATTGAGGCAATTGAAGTAGAGTTCACCTGATTTTGTGAACTCGGCATAAGAAGGGATAGTGTGGTCAGCACTATGTCCAGCCGTCTTTACTTTCCTTAACGTGAGTTAGGTACCATAAAGAGCTGGGTGGACTCAGGGACGGTCTAGCTTTCTCCCGCTAGCCATTCCCCCTCCCCCCTCGTCCCCGTAGTCCGTACGACTTTTCTTATTTTACGTAGTCAGTAGGACTTCTGTTCGTAGATGTATTCGGTAGGTCATCTGTAATTTTAAGTAGTCCGTACGACTTCTGATATTTTACGTCGGTAGAACTTCTTACATTTTACGTAGTCCGTAGGACTTCTTACATTTTACGTAGTCCGTAGGACTTCTTACATTTTATGTAGTCCGTAGGACTTCTTACATTTTATGTAGTCCGAAGGATTTCTTACATTTTATGTAGTCCGAAGGATTTCTTACATTTTATGTAGTCCGAAGCACTTCTTACATTTTACGTAGTCCGTAGAACTTCTTACATTTTATGTAGTCCGAAGGATTTCTTACATTTTATGTAGTCCGAAGGATTTCTTACATTTTATGTAGTCCGAAGCACTTCTTACATTTTACGTAGTCCGTAGAACTTCTTACATTTTATGTAGTCCGAAGCACTTCTTACATTTTACGTAGTCCGAAGGATTTCTGTTACTTGAAGGAGTCGGTAGATACTTCTGATATTTTACGTTGTCCGCAGGACTATTGTTATTTGACATATTTAACAAAACATGTGTTACATGCTGCGGTATGTAAGACTTATGTTCCACTACATAGTCAGTAGGACTTCTATACTAGCAGTATTTGATTGGTTTTTCTGTAATTCATTGTGTGATTTTCCACGGGGATTACAGCCATAGCTTTTATAGCATAATAAAAAAAAATCAATTAGTCGTATAATTTAAAATTGATTGAAAAATGTATTTTCCCTTAAGCGCCCTCACATTTAAAAAATGTGTGACTATAGCAGTATAAGCAGCGTACCGTGTTTTATCGAGAAAAAAAACCCAGTAAAGATATTTTTTTTTATTGTAGTTTAAGACAGACATGTTTTTTTACAACCAGAATGATTTTTATATTACCGGGGTACATAAATAGGTCTAAACCTTAATTTCTTAAAGCTTTAAACAAATGTAAGACATACTTCTTTTAAATTCCAAAATGAAAATGTTTTCAAAATTGTCTAAAATTGTTTCAAAGAAGTATTTGATTTGAACATTGATTTGTTTAAGGTAATACAAAGAATGAAGTTCATTGCTACGGTATATTAGATATTTTATCTTATGCAGTGTTCCTTCCAGTCTTTTTTTCTCCGGGGGAGGCACTTGAAATTTTCGGGGGGTGGGGGCGGTAGACTTTCTTCGGGGGCGGGGGGCTGGGACACTGTTAAAAGTATATATTTTCTATATAAATTATATAAATTTCATTTCGTTCGGGGGGGGGGGGGCGTAGAATTTTTCAAGCCCCCGCCCCCCCCCCCCTCCCTCACCCCCCCCCCCCCCCCCCCCCCCCCCCCCCGAAGAGATGCCTGTAAGAAACTCTGATCTTATGTAAAAAAAAAAAATTGTGACGGCGTGGTCAAATGTTAGAGCTTTCCACCGCTACTCTGAAAGTTTCGAGTTCGGATCCCGGTATTTGACTTAGGGAAGGTAAAAGTGGCCTAGAATAGTGCTAACCGCATTATCCCTTTATAAGCCGAGGTCACTGAAACAGTTAATATCTCCACAAAACTTCCGGGGTTGGGCAACGTCTCTATGAAAACACCGTCGCTCAGGTTTTTTTTTTATTGAAAGTCCTTTCATTTAGTTATTTTGGCTTTAATTGGCATTTTAAGGCATATATGTATATATTTACATATGTGTGTGTGTGTGTGTGTAAATTTATAATAACAAAATATATTTATGCAAGCCTACATTTAAAGGAGTAGACCATGTTTTCAGGAAACAATAACTAAATTTGAAGAATTAAAGAATAGAGTTTAAAAAATATATAGTTAATTATGTTAAGACTGGTGTATCCGCTTCAAATTAATATAGAGAAAAATACTATATCAACAAACTTGAAACTGTACTTCATTCTTGTTAAAGAAATTATTAGTTTTTTAATAAATAAGTAATCGGGTTATGTTGTTTGTAATAGCTTAGCAAAATTTTTAACTTAGTCCGCTGTGTTTTAAAATCAAAGTGAATAATCTCCCTTGTGAATGCTGGCATGTGTAAAAAATACAGTTGTTCATTTCAAAAAATACATTAACGTGTGCAGAGTTTATTCCAGACATTTCTTCGGTCGGGGGGGGGGGGGGGGGGGTGGGGGGGGTGAAAATTGCATACCGCTCCCCCCTCCCCCAACGAAATAGAATTTGTATAGAAAATATATGCTTTTACCAGTGTCCGCCCCCTCCCCCAGAAAACTTAGTCCGGCACACGAAAATTTCAAGTGCTTCCCGGAGAAAAAAGTCTGGAAGAAACATTAGTTTCTTACCCAGTTATTAAAAGTCTGTTCAATAAAACATTATAATCATTATTCATAAATTATATTTATTAGTTAACATCTCAGTAATTTACATCCCAAATTTAAAAGTAACAAATATTCAATGTAAACTATTACAAAAAACACATTTAGTAATAATCATACATTTTCAACTAGATTTTAACATGCAATATTATTTAAATCATAAAAAAAAACACATTTTACGAGCACCATTGATTAACACCCGCGTATAAAAACTATACAAAATAATGAGAAGCCAATGTAAAAACATATAATACTTATCTTGAATATAAAGATGAGGTATGAAGTTTTGAAATTATAATATTATTCCTTTACATTGCTAGAGTTATATAACGAACTGGTTTTTACAAAAGAGAGAATAAAGAAAGCCGGCAATTAAGATTTTTTACAAGCTTTTATTTAACTCACTGTCTCTGTAGTCAGTCTAGATCGAAACGCCTGAGCGAAAATTCGGGCACTTCTAACTGACAGTTGCGCCTCAAAGTTGGCACATAGGTCAAGACATGCGATTTCTTTTAAAGCTATTTTTTAGGGATTCAATTATTTTCACGTATATTCTGTTTGACATTATTTTAAAGTTGTATTTTTTACTCTTAGTGTCACAGAAACTAATCTTGCTATTGTTTTGATTCCTTTTGAATGCTTCCCCTAAATATTAGAACTAGAAGGTGGTGGGGGGGGGGGGAGGAGGATAGGTTGATTTTAAAATGGTATAAAGAAACCCAATAAAGAAATAATCAATAAGTTAATGACACCGGATAAAGTTTAAATACTTAACTCTTAACAAAACTAAATGCACATACAAATATATTTTCTCAACAAGCAGGGGAAATAACTGCATATCTGTAATATACAGAAAAGTCTCATTTACATATTGCAAGTTATTTAAATATTCTTTTAAAAATAAAGATCTAACATTGCTTTAACAGGGGGTCGTATGTCATGATTAAACTCTTCAAAATATCATAACGACAGACCATGCACATAAAAATAAATAGTATTTTTTTTTACCATAAGGGGAAATAACTACATTTCTGTAATATACAGAAAAATCCCATTCACGTATTGCATATTATTTTAAAAAAAAAAAACGTTTTAAAAATATAGATCTAACAGTGCTTAAACCGGGGGTCGTATGTCGTAATCAAACATTTCAAAATCGATCCTGAACTTTTCTTGAATGGCTCTGATCAGCCGGGGTTCTACGCCATTGTATGCCTGAACCAGTGACGCTCTCCTCTGTGCGTGTGACTCGTCTTTCCCGATCGGGTCTGTGAGCACGAGATCGGTCAACACAGACTCCATGGTGGTGTTGGTGTAGTCGCTCAAACCCTCTGGAAAAGGCGTGCTGGTTTTGATATGCCCGTTGTGTTGGAACACCAGCCACATTCTTCTAGCTAGATCTTTCTTCGATAAACATCTCTCTAATTTTTCGTTGTCGTAGATGAAATAGTAATTCGATGATATCGATTTGAGTTCGGTGATCGTGTAATTAATGAAATCGTAGTTGTCTATCAATTTCCGGTACGAGACGGCCTCAAGGATATGACGCGCATCGCGGGTGAAAGTTTCGACTTTGCCGATAAAATGGGGGTTGAACTCGCACGGGTTGCACATTGATGCGATGGTGCGTACGTGCGCTTCGTTGGATGACATGGCCAGGGCCAGGAAATCGCTGAAGGAGATGTTCGTGACGCAAATGTCTTGAGAGAGCTCGTAACGGTTCCAGAAATCCGGGAGGTAGTATTTATCCAGGTAGACGCTCCATAACCTGGCGTAGGGATCTCTGGTGAAGATGAATCGCTTCGCGAAGGAATGGAACGCGTTTTTAAAAGAGGTCCAGTTAGCGCCTCCGCCGTGGGGCGTCAGCTCCCCGTTGTGAACTTTGATGCGGTCGATTTCAAACGGAGACCGGATGCCGAGTTCTTTCATCTGGGAGTGGAGGTTGATGAAGCTGAAGATCCGGAGCCAGAACGTGCAGCCGGCTTTGGGGGCGTGGCAGTACACGGCACGCCGGTTTTTGTCGAAGAGGATGGACCAGGTTCTGAACTTGTGGCCGAGGTTGATGGCCCAGTGGGACTGGCACGCTTGAGCGACCCGCTGATTCCGTTGGTTGAATTCTTCAGTGATAGAGGTCACATTCATATCCTGGGATGAAATCGTTAGGAAATATTAGTTATTTAAACTATTGCTAAATTACATTAGGCGGTATTCTTTCGTTTTTAGACCGGAAAATTAGACGAAACTAGTAATGTGAAAGACTAATTAATATGGCTTTAATACAAGTATATAGCGATATATATGTATCAAAGATAATAGATAATTGAATAATAAAACAGACGTAATGTCTAAACATATCAACAAAGACCAAAAATTAAATTTTAATAGCAATGTTTGAGTCAAGTTTTGCTATATAAACAGCTGCTAACTAAATTACAGTGATTTCCCCTTAAATTCTAACTAAAAATTATCACACAAAAAAGAACAACTTTAAAATATACGGCTGCTAAGTTAACAAGCTTGGTTGCATCGGATGAGTATATCGCTAAAAATCTTTACTTATTACTGAAAAGTTAAAATAGCATAGATCTAGTTTAAAATTAGGTAGGCCACTTGATTGTTTTATGTTTTACTTTAACAACGTAAATCCTCGTAAAATTGCAAAATAATTACTAAAATTTAATTAATCACCTTTTCTCACATTACTAGTTTCAGCAGATTGAATATTTGGCTTATGTTAATGAGGGAAGGTGTGGTTGAATGGTAGAGCTAACTGATAAAGTTCGAGGTTCAGATCCCGGGCTCTAGTGAGTAGGATGTCAGTGAGTCACGTTAAATAGAGAAAATCGAGGCAGCAGAGTGCACACTATCCCCTTGTATGCCGAGGTCAATGAAACAGATTAACTCTAATCATTTGCCAAATATGTCTAGCGCACGAACGGGAAAAGAAGATGAAATGTGAAGACAATACTTAAAACTATCCTATGTTGAGAGAGACCTACGGCAGGTTGGATTCCGGGTACGGAAGAACACGTCAGACAAGTCTGAGAGGAAGAATGTGGTGAAGCAGGCCAATGACGCTGTGCTCTGTAGAGCTATTGAGATGAATGGATACGTCTAGCTTTAGTTATATTCTAACTGATAAACAGAGTGGATGAGGAATGATGTATGTATGTATATATATATATATATATATATATATATATATATATATATATATATATATATATATATATATATATATATATATATATATATATATATATATATATATATATATATATATATATATATATATATATATATATATACATATATTATACACACACACCTATATATATATATATATATATATATATATATATATATATATATATATATATATATATATATATATATATATAGATATATATATAGATAGATATATATATTATACAGGTGTAGCGTGTCCCTTTCTATCAGCACGATTTCTGAATCTATATTTCACATTTTCACATAGCAAATTGAGTATTCAACGATGTATCCAGTAATGCAGGACACTGCCAGAATGATAAAGAAGGGGCAGAGACGACATTGTATGGATGACATCAAAGATAGGACTGAACTGTAAGTTGCAGAAATCTGAGCAGCAGAGCACCGTGAAAGATTGCAGACAATTATCGGGAAAATCAACGTTTCTCAACGACCATAATAACGGTAAAGGGATAATTCATAGATTGGCTGAAGTTGAACAATTACACTTGCACTGATAAAAATCAAACAATCTATATTAAAGCATTAACGTTGTAAGTGTTTTAGCTTGATTTAAAACTGATTTTGTGGCTGCTATTTGTTATTATTACAACTTTCAATAACACTTAACATTTAGATCAATTAATTGTATTAATGAAATACCATACTGTAGGATTAACACGTGACATTACTTCTCTAGTTAGCTACTCACATTTGTAAAATTTTCCTTTTTGAATCTCAGTACTGAAAAAAAAACAAGTTTTAGTTTTAGTTTATTATATACACATACATATATATATATATATATATATATATATATATATATATATATATATATATATATATATATATATATATATATATATATATATATATATATATATATATATGTGTGTGTGTGTGTGTGTGTGTGTAAAATATGTATGCAAATCAAAAGAGTCCTTAATATTGTTTCAAACTAAGAAGGTGTTGTAAAATAATGTATGCTCATGCTAGTAGGCGACATGGTCGGACGGGAAAGCTTATGATTATCAATTCAGTAGTTTAAATTTCGGACCCCCAGGCAGATGAGACCCGTTAGCTGAGGACAGCAACCTATCTACCAGAGAAAACTCCAAAATCAAACAACTGCTGCCTTGTAGTTTGTTCTGTGATAGACAACCACCGTAAAAACAAACTGAAAAAGAAAAGTAGGCTGAAATCGAATTCAAAGGCTTATGACGGATAACCAGTTGATGCGGAATACTTGCGTTGGAAGAAATTCGCTTACTTACTACAATAGGGCTGGTAAGTAGGTCACCAACCAATTCTATGGCTCATGCAGGTTTTATTGAGCCGTAGAGATGGTTGGTGATCTACTTACCATCTTTATTAGGAAAGAAGAAGAAAAAGCTAAGCTTCTCTCCACATTGATTCTTCGTGTATAGAAGATCTTCTTATGGATTTAGCTACTCTAGCTTAGTATTGCTGGTATAGCAGATTTGGTAATGGCTTTGGCTGGGCTAACTTCGTATTGCTGGTATCCCAGGATGAGTTATGGCTTTGGTTAAGCTACATAGGTGTTGCTTGTATCGTAGTTTCGGCGTTGGTTAGGGTAAGGCTGCTCTCTCCCCCCTCCCCGTCCCCACACACACCCACAGCTGTTTCATCAACTCCTGACACACAGGGAAAAAAAAACCTCCCACAAATCAATAGGTGAACTCTGCTCATGTGTGTAGCTAATATATCCCATAGTTCACTAGTGATCCAAGAGTCATATCCCAAAACTATAGCAGATGTGAAATCCTATTTTTCCAAAACTAATATAAACAAAACTTCATAGCTACAAGCTTTTAAATGCACGGAAAATAAGAAAATTAAAAAATTAAACTGCTTGCTTTCATAAAAACTGTGGTCGCTAAAATATGTAAAAGATCTAATGAGCGACTAAAGCTTTTATGAAAGAAAACAGATTAGTTTTATTTTCTTATTTTCCGTGCATTTAAAAGCTTCTTGCTATAAAGGTTTGTTATATTTGTTTTATTTTCTACTTTTTAGCGATTTGTCAAGTCGACGCAACTAAAAATAATTACCCGAAAAACACAATCAATAAAACGCGATATCTGAAAGATGTTTATCTGCCTCGTGAAAGCAGCCGTCCGTGACCATATTTTACAGACGACAGCAAGTTCTTAATCTTGTTACTTCCCTTAGTTTAAAATCATTTTACAGCTTTATTATCTGCCCCGAATAGCCTTCACTAGATCGACCGGCTCTACGATTGTAAACATTCTCGTGAACCACAGCTCATCAGACTGTTAGGGTGATTGCGTCTTGCTAGTTATTTCCCCTTCTGTTATTGAATATAGTAATCTATAGTGTGATTTAATTTTGTTATTAGTTTCGACCCCTTTTAATCCATTTTTAATGACTAATTAAATATATAATAATTTTAAAAAATTAGACTTGTATGGCCTATTGTTATTGAAGTGGAACGAATCTGGAAAGTTTAAACGAAATCGCTGCATTACAAGTTGGTCACAAGTTTTGTCACAAACCCACAAACAAAAATACATACAAACAAATGTTGCGAACTAAATAAAAGCTTGTAAAAAACAAAAAAAACAACAAAATTCCAATTGTTTTTCAAAGAGAATATTTTTCAGAGAATATTTTTCAACGAGAATATTTTCCGAGAGAATATTTTTCAAGAGAATATTTTTCAAAGTGGCGAGCAGTGGTGAAAACGGTAAAAATGGTAGGCAAGGGTGGAGTCGGCAAAAATTGTAAAATGTGTTTGAAGATTAAACAAATGTGTTACTAAAAACGTTTTTATAAAGCTTTCGTGCTTCAAAACCCCTCAAGGGAACTAACTCTTTTATTTATTCAATCGAAGTAATCCGGTGGTTCTTAACCTGGATTCCATGGAACCCCAGAGGTTTGTGAATTAGTCTCCGGGGTTCGACGGATGTCAAGAGACACGTCCGACTCGTGTGATTTGCGATTGAAGTTTGTCAGTTCGGACAATAGAACTAGCGACCGGGACCGATTACAGTACAAATACGACAAATACTGATGTTGCGGGGAAAAAAAAGAAAGTGATCTGACGAATATGCACGATATATGCACGATATGTATTCACATGTATAACGGAACTTGATGGGAGTCAGCGTCCTAACTGCATCATTGTCAATACCAAGTTGAGCAATTCTAGTCTAGTACCGGCAAAACTAAGATATCACTTCCTCAAGCTGCATGGAGATGGAAAATACAAGAACACAACGCTCGCTGAACAGAGTTTCTTCCAGGCATCTGCCCTCTCCCCCCCCCCCCCCAAGAAAGTCTACCCCCCCCCCCGAACGACATGGAATTTATATAGCAAACATATACTTTTACCAGTGTCCGCCCCCCCCCCCCGGAAAATGTTGACCGCCCCCCCTGCAAAATATCAAGTGCCCCCACTCTCCCCCCCCCCCCCCCCCCCCCCCCGGAGAAAAAGTCTGGAAGATGCACTATCGCTGAATTCACGGTGAAACCGCGCATTTCTGAACTGGTGTCTGAAAGGCAACATCAGACTTTAAACTGTTGCAGTAAATATTCATTATTATGGTTTTATTTTTCTTTGAAAATCAGATTTTAATTTCTTCGAAGACGGTTCATTTTGTGCACCAGCTTTGATTTTGAAAAATAAAAATCAAATTTTTATTTTGCCTACCAAGAAGGATTCGGTGTATTCGCAAATTAAGCTGATGGGTTCGGTACGCCAAAATAGGTTAAGAACCATTGATGTAATCTGATTTGAGAAAAACTTTAACAACTTAATCTTGCCAAAGAGATCAAATAGTGCGTAAAACATGAAAGCCAGCGTATGATAAAATAAAAACTTACGAATAGATGAAACGATAAAATATTCAAAATTACTACGCCGTAAATTT